TCATTTAGCTCTGGGACCAGAAAATGAGTCCTAAGGCTAAACTGTGAATTTAAAAATATGGGAGCCAAGAACTCAAGTCTACATGTAAAGCCCATAAAATAGGCCCTTTTACAAAGTGAATCTAAACAATAAATTCGAAAAAAAAAAAAAAAAAAGACCTTTTTAAATAGCAGTGTTCCAATTTCCCTCCTTTGTAGATTTAGAAATTCAGACAGCTTCTCAGTGATGTTTGAAAAAGTCTCAAAGTACTTAAAAGAGTTACTTGACATACTTCAAAGAAGCTAGCTGCCACTGACTCATCGCTTCCACCCCAGCCCCTTTTACTTATTCTTCCCCTCTACCTCCAGTTTTTGGTTGACATTTGGAAGGGTCATCTTGCCACACAGGAGCCAGCCCCAATTCCACATCTGAATTAAAACACTCTCTGAGCAGATGCTAAAGGAACTCCAAAATCTTCAGGCATTTCCCTTCAGGCAGTTCTTGCCCTCAGAGGAGCTTACATTCTAATAGGGAAGTCAAACCAACAAAATTTCAGGTTTGGCTCTGCTGTAAGAAAAAGGAGATAACTCAGATAACCCACATGCTTAATTCACTTTGCATTTTTAAAAACCTGTCTACACACCTTATGTTTGAAAAAAGATATTGCAATGTAATCAAGTGCAGTTTATTAAAATTTTTGAGCAAAATGTGTGAGGTGGTGAGGGGAGGAGAGACAAAGAGACCATGTTCCAAGGGACTGACTCTGCAATCAGGTCCCCTTGAGTGGACTTAGTCACTCAAGTCCACATGTACCCATTCGGCAAAGCATCTACATAAGTAAGAGCATGGTACTGGGGCAGTGGTGACACCCAAGAGCAGTGGTTTCAATGCTTTTAGCTCTTTGTCATGTAACACTAAACTCCAAATACTCAAGTGAGTTATTACTTCATATAACGAGAAAATTGGAATTGGTTCATCCACCAGCTCAGCATCATCAGGGACCAAGGCTCTACTTACCCAGTTGACTTCTGTCCTCAGGCTTTCCCTGCAGGGTTACAAAATGGCTGCAGCAGCTCCAGCATCAACACTTACCCAGTGCTGTCTTTGAACACGGTCATGTGAGAGTAAGACGCTCTCCCCTTTTTAAGAGGGAGGAAAGAGGCCTGTCACAGAAACTCCCAGCTAATTTCCATGGTAAGTCATTGGATTGGCCAGAATTGTATCACACGTCAATTCCTAAATCGATGATCCAGCCTGGAGACAGAAATTATCATGATCGATTTAGACCAACCATGATTCACCCTCTGAGACCCATGGTTACCTGATACTTGAATAAAATCAGAGTTTTGTTAGGAAGAAGAAGGTGAAGGGACAGCTTTTGGTTGATAATAACCTATGGTATATTCCACAAGGTCATATCCTTTGAAGGGATTAGGAATGCAGCTTGAAAATTCATACATTCTTTACTGGCCATGGGAATTCCCTGAGAGTTCTGAGCAGGGAAATAACATGAACAAACAAATAATTAGATGTAAGGGATTTTGCAGCCTTTTATTCTGAAATTATAATTCTTGTTTCTTTACATTTACAGGTGGTAATCATTATTCATTTATTGAACAAATATTTACAGAACCCCTGCTGTTCCGAGCATGGGGATACAATGCAAGGCAGCTGCAGTTCTTGCCCTTAGAAGAGCTTACATTCTAATGGGGAAGTCAAACCAACAAAATTTCAGGTTTGGCTCTGCTGTAAGAAAAAGGAGATAACTCAGTGAAGGAGTGGAGGTAGGACTCTGATAAAGTGGCTGGCCAAGAGAAGAGGGCCTTAAGATGACAACTGAACTAAGATGAGAAGGACAGGAGGAGGCCTGCCATAGGGAGGTCTGAGAGCAGAGCCTTGGATGCAGAGGGAAGTGCAAGGCCCTTAAGACGAATGATCTTGGCGAGCTAGAGACCCAGAAAATCCTGGATAACTGTCAGTAAGAGGGAGAGTGGTAGAAGGCAAGACTGGCTTGGGTCATGAAAAAAAATGTTAAGCAACACACACAATAAAGTTCATATACGTGGAGGGGCAGGGACCAGGCTAGGTAGGGTTTTTAGGCCATGGCAAAAGTTTCTATGTTAATCCAAGTTAATATGCATCTATGTTTTTCCAAGAGAACAGAAGATTTTTAACAAGGAAGATTTTTGAATGTCACTTTTTAGAAGTGGGCAGGGCCGGAAATAGCTTGTAATTGGTTAGTGTTAGGACAAGTGCACAGATTTTATGGGATGTTTTCAGGCAGTAGAGATTGTAAGGGTGGGACTTAAGAGTTACTTAGAAAAGTTTGACAAGACAGAGACCTGACTTCTTGAAAAATGTGCTAGGCCAGCTTTAATGAGCACGTGAATTCTTGGAGGATCTTGTTAAAATGCAGATTCCAGTTCAGTAGGTCCGGGGTGGGACTTGTGAATCTTCATTTCTAACATGTTTCAGGTAATGTCAGTGCTTCTGGGATGAGGACCATACCAGGATTCTAGCAAAATGTGGCCTTAACTTGTATTTTCAGTTGTACTTTCTGCTAATATCTTATACTTAACTATGCACTCCAGACACAGTAGCCACGTGTTGCTATTTACATTTAATAAGATACTCAGTTCCTTAGTTGTACTTATCAGACTTGCAAATATTTAAGAGCTAAAAGAGGCTAGTAGCTACCACACTGGACAGAGCAAGTATAAACATTTCCATAACGAAAGAAAGCTTTATAGGCTGGCACTGCTTCAGACAGAAGATACTACTTCTAGTTCTTTAGGATTTGCTGTTATCAAGTCTTCTCCACCCCATTTTTTTTTTTTTTTTAACAGAGGACACATACTGTCTTTACCTGCTAAAATCGAATTCATCTAAGAATTAATTATCTCAAGTCCACTTCTTCTATGGGACCTTTCCTACTACTCAAACTGGGTGTTGCTTTCAGCTTCCTTTAAATCTGCAATCTCCATCTGGTTTTCCTCTGCAATGTATTTCTACTGTATTTTGCCTGCCTAGTATCCAAAGTATCTGAGCATCCAGCTCCTGTTTCTCTGGTTGTAGAACTCTATTTTCTTTGGGTTGGGGATGAGGCACTACTTCTCACCCATTTCTCCATGTGATTCAGTTGAACCTAAGTCTAGACTCCTAGCCATAATCATTAGCACAAGAGCCAGATGAGAGCCAGTGACATTAATGCCAGGACATTTGCTGAAAAAATTAGATAAAAGTGTAGATAAAAGTACCCTTTCCACTGAAATCTCTGAGCTGTCTGGATGCCAGTCTGGACCTGCTGGCAGCCATTCTGCCATTCAATGAGCAGACCTTGCCCAAGAATGAGGACAACTCAGGGGAAAGAAAAACCAAGAGATCCAGACAGAGCTTAGATGGCATCTCTTACCTGGCAATAGCTGTATTTGGAGTGCTATCTACCTTGAACACTAGTTACTGGACAGTTACAATTTCCTATTTTTGCTTCATCTACTGTGTAGTGGAGAAATCTCGCCCTTTACAACCTCTCAAGACGTTTGTTTTCTGCTTTGATATGTGGTAGTAAGCAAGTACTTGCTAATTCTTCCAGCACCCCTGTGATCCAACTTTTCAACATCATAACTGCCCTTTGTTAGTCTGATTCAAAGGTTTGTAAAAGGCATTGTGAACATATGCTCACCTAAAGTTTTCTTTACCAATTTTAATATTCAAACTATTTTAACATGTTAATGATCTAATTTTATGAAGCCAAAGACTTGTCTCTATTTCTCAATGACATCTATTTTTATTAACTTCTACAGATTGTTAACACTCCTGTGTGTACATAACTGGATTATTATTTTTTTTGAGACAGATTTCACTCTTATTGCCCAAGGTGAAGTGCAGTGGAGCAGTCCCAGCTCACTGAAACCTCCATGTTCCGGGTTCAAGCAATTCTCCTACCTCTGCCTCCCAAGTAGCTGGGATTACAGGTGCCCACCACCATGCCCAGCTAATTTTTGTATGTTTAGTAGAGATGGGGTTTCACCATGTTGGCCAGGCTGGTCTCAAACTCCTGGTCTCAAGTGATCCACAAGCCTATCTCCCAAAATCCTGGGATGACAAGTGTGAGGCACCACACCTGGCCTTAAGTGGATTATTTCTTAATGGCACAAGTTATCCAAACCAAGTGCAGATTTCCTAGTTAACATGTACTGTTTACCTGGCTAACCCATGTGTACCTCCTAGAATATTCTCCATCTGTGCCTGCCTCCCAGCTTTGAGGGGACTCCTCTAAATCTATTGAAGTTGTGTAGTAGTCTGGGCCAGCAGGCTGGAGGATGACTCCAGATCCGACTCTTTCAACTCACCCTCCCTTCTAGATCAACTCACATGGACCTTCTTAGCTTCATGTCTGAGCTTACTCCCCTCCACAACTTTGTCCTGCTTATATATGGAATCTGACCACAATCTACCTACCTCCTAATGGGCTCAGAAGGCCCCGTGGGGCACAGGTGCTAGGAAGGTCCCTAGACTTCAACCTGAAAGGTGCCTCCAAACCCAGATGTAACACTCGACACCACCCATCTACAATCTTCTCTCTACATTTTCTAACTACAACTGGACTAAAGAAAGAGCAATCCAGGCCAGGTGTGGTGGCTCACACCTGTAATCCCAGCACTTTGGGAGGCCGAGGTGGGTGGATCACGAGGTCAGGAGTTCAAGACCAGCCTGGTCAAGATGGTGAAGCCCTGTCTCTACCAAAAATACAAAAATTAGCCAGGAGTGGTGGTGGGTGCCTGTAATCCCAGCCACTTGGGAGGCTGAGACAGAGAATTGCTTGAACCCAGGAGGCGGAGGTTGCAGTGACCTGAGATTGCATCACTGCAGGGTGACAGCAAAGACTCTGTGTCAAAAAAAAAAAAAAGCAATCCATCATGAAGGAACAAAGAACAGACCCTCACTACTCCCCCTACCCTTTCACTGTCTTTTAAACCATGTTTACAAAATAGGATTAAGAACTACTCTAGAGGGCCATGTACATGATAAGATTATCTTTTATTAGAGATCTTATATTACATATTCCCAAAAAGATATAAAATCTTCCAAGAGAAAAATATCAAAACCTGTTGATTCCAAGGTGAACAAAATGATCAAAATGAAGGCAAACATTTTCTTCTAGACAAAGGAATATAAAAACATTTCGGCACAAGTACAACAAAGGTATGGGAAGATCATGATAATGTTTTACAACGCATTTTACAGCATTTTATTTTAATCAGTATTTGTAGAAAATAAGGATGCTGAGTTCTTGAACACTGCAGTCACAAACTCAAAATTTCCAAAAAAAGGAAAGAAAACACTGAACTATTTGGTCAATTGAACATCTGTAATAATAAATGTAATGAAACCTAACCAAATAAATATGCCACTGAGATCACAACTGAAGTGTATGGTTTTTAGTGTGTGCCAGAGACATTACATTATTTAATCAGTTTTTGACCACAACCTAAAGCAAAAGCATCCTCTCTTCATTTCCCTGATGATTTATTCTAAAAGTAACTTTAAAAAGCAGAAACTTGCTGGTTAAAGAGAATTTCTGCTTTACCTGTGAACTGCTGGTAGCAACACAAGCTGAATAAAACCCCAGACTAACATGGGACAGATCCATCTCAAACAACCAGAAGTGGCAAAATCACTGTTATTGCATCAAGATTTTTTGTTTTTTAATTTCATCTGATCAGAATTTCCAGAATGATTAAGCACACCCACTTAACCACAGAACACACTGAACTCCCACAGGAAGGTTTTACATTTAAGATGCAATGAAAATACTAATCTCATTCCTGGGGTTTGCTTCTGGCAACCCTAACATCTGTAGATGTCCACAAAAAGGAAGTCCTTCTTCTTTTTTTAGTTTTTTCCCAAAAAATGTGGAAGAAAACTTACAGTACATGTTTATTGCATGAAATTACCCCTTGTAATATCTTTATCAACACTGGTATTGTTTCCTTAATTATTAAAGGCAAATGAGTTTATGAATTTAACGTAACAATAATCTTGGGAGCTGCATCTTGAGTCAAAATCCAGATGATAATCAAACTATATGGTGAAAGAGAAATTGGGTTTTTATTTCTCTATAAAGATGTTGGAAAGACAAAAGGTAAATGGAGGTTGAAAGCCACAGAATACGAAATCGATTAACTCAAAGAGAATTTTCAAAACTGTACATACTCAAAGACTCCTTTCTATGCTAAAACTGAATAGTCTAAATGTTGCTATTATTTTAATGTTAAGGAAACAATAATCCCAAATAAATTTTATTAAAAGCACTGTAATGGCACATGGGCTCAGAACTTCATTAAGGTTAGCACATACAAAAGTTGAGAATTGAATGAACAAACATATTCCTTAGTTAGATAAACCATGATGAGCTACATAAAAGTGGGTTTCAAAACAAGATCAATTTTAAAGCATTCTCTCTTTAATATAGTTAACTACTGTGAAATGGAAACAGTAGCTGGATTTTGCATTTTACAAAATCCTTGCTTCAAGTTGCAGTTTCCTTGGCAGCAGCATATTTTAATTAACAATATTTTCCTTCCTTATTTTGTTTTCCGACATCTCAGTACATTCAAATAGTCAAAATGTTTAGAGTAACATCACCACAAATTTAATGAAACAGATCAGAATGTGACCAGCATTGTCAGGCAAAAATTACACAATTTATGTGTCATAGAAAGTACCCACCCCTCTCCCCGATCCCGCAACATTCCCCCTTCCCCAGACAGTAATATGGACACTGATTTAACAAGACTTATAAAAAAATAAGGCACATTTATTTTGATATGGTAATTTTAAAATAGAAACCCCTTCTCAGAACACCTGTATTCAAATGAGCTGTGTAAAAAGACACCTTGTGGTACCTAAAATAGGTTTATGGTACCTATGGAATTGCTTCTATTTTAGTGAAGATGGAATAAATTGCACCCATCCCACATTGTCAAGTAATGAAAGTATGCCTCTTTTTCTACTGTTGAATGATTCAAAATCAGGTATTTCTGGAAATACTTAGAAAGGGTAGGAAGGGAAGGAAAAGGTCAAGAGGTACACCAGAAAAAGGTATAAAAATCAACTATGTTAATCATAAGGGTGGATAGATTGCACTTTTCCACTTATTTCAACACATAATTTTTCAAACTAGTATGAATGATTGCAACCATTTTGGCCATTAGCTTTTACCCACAAACACTTTATTCCATTTCAGCCAAATAGGTATTTTTGTAAAACTAATGAAGGATCAGCACACAGATATTGTAAGAATCTCTTCACAACCCCCAACACAGACATAATTAGTTAGCATTTAACCTGAGATACAATCTGTTGAGAGGCTGTCTTTAAATATTCCTTCATTTGTTGCATCAATTCATACTGATGGTGGTAGTTCATGGGAGGAAGTTTAAAAAAAAAGAAACTTGACCGATAGCATGGCTTTTTTTTCTTTTTTTCTTACTCTAGTGGTAAAAGAAAAAAAAAAATCACAGAATCACAGAATTTATCTTCTCACAGTAGCCAGAAGCTAAAATAATGTGCTTCTTTATTGCACGTCAAACCAAGAAAGGTATAAAAGCCAATGATTCTCAATCTAAATGTGAAAGTCAGGTTCACCTCAACCGGATTCGGTATGTGCTGATTTCCATTGGACTCAAGTTGATCTCACTTATATTCTGAGTGCCGGGAGGTGAATGCATCAAGGATAATGATGAAAGTGTGAGACTTTCGACAATAAACTTGTTAAAAAGTTTCTGTACCAACATCTGAAAAGTAAATGATAAAATTTGCATATTTAGATCAACTTTGAAGATTAGCAGCACAACTATATATTCTGTGAAAATCAGTATGAGAAGGAATAAAACAGTATGTTGAAATTCTCTTTTGAGGAAAAAAGGGTGGAGTAAATATACATACATAAGTTATTAAACATACATATATAAGTTCTCTTTTATGGAAAAAAGGGTGAATTAAATATACATATATACATGCTTGAACATATAGACTATCCTTGGAAGGAAACAGGAAACCAGCAATGGTCATGAGCAACATATTCTGCATTCCTTTTTGTATTGCTTGAGAATTTTATCACGCACAGGGGCTTTTTCAATAAAAGAAAGGACACCCAATGGCCAAGAAGCTTTAAAAACATCCTTATTCTCTTTTAGTCCATACTTATCCCTAACAATGGTAGTCCTCAACCACTTTTTCCTGTTCCAACAGAGTTGAGAGAGAGCACACAGGCTCACTACAAGGAAGGATCATATGTCATTGAGTCCCAGTCTATAGAGTGGACAGGTCATTTGAAAAGTGTTTCCCTCACTGCTGCCATGTTATCTGTCTCTCTGGATCATATAACCCCCTTATGATTCAAGGCCTTAATGTCAGAATGCTCAGAACCAAGTATACTTAGATCATCAACAATAAGATAGAGTGCAAATACAGTATAATAAAAAAGTAATAAAAATATCAGTGCTTTCTTGGCATCAACTCCAAGCAGGGTAGGGTAAAAGAAATGTAGAAGCTAATCTATCTAAGTAGGTTTAGGGCTCCTACCACATTTTTCTTTTCTTTTTGGACCCCACACACGCTAATTTGTAGGATTGGAACTGAATCACTTGAGTCTGGTCTACAGCATTATTTATGGGGTTTTGGAGGAAAGTTGGGTCAGCTGAGCTGCCTGGTGAGGCAGACCTGCCTGTGTGCCTAAATCAGCCCAGCTGCCTTCTCTGAGTCATGGCCCTTTCAGTGACAAAGGCAGGAGATTGGAGGTTTGTTTCCTTCCAAGGACAGGCTTGATGGAACTGCCAGAAAGACCAACTTGAAGAGAAATAACAAATAGGCAGCCAGCAAGCTGTGTTCAGACTGAGGATCTGTTTGGCCTGCACAGTGTTGACTCATATGCAAATCTGCATTAATCAGAAGACCAAGACCTACATTTATTTCCCATAACTGATTGGTGCTACGTACGGCTGCCTCCTGGGCTGTGGGTAGATTATCCTACTAGCCTACAGTCTCAATTTTCCCAGTTGCTTCTTTATGGCTACCTCTATAAAGCTTCAGTTACTATAAACTTGCCTTGGCCTCTGTAGGACTTAGGTGTACCAGTGCTGAACTAAATGATATGTGAGCATGTACGGTTCGGGGGAGGAGAAAACTGGGGGACTGGGAACAAGGCACTTTGTAGGCTGGAAATAGAAGGCCGAGGAAATGACAAGAGCATTGCCTTCAAATGTGCATAAACTCCAGCTATGCCTTTTGATGCTGACAAGGAAAGCAGGCTGAAGTTTTGAGAAAGTGTATTTTTCAGATGGGGAGATTCAAACTAATTTGCAGACTGATGAAACTGAGACAGTAAAGAGGCAATGAAATATGATCTTATTGTCAAGATTCTTTGCAGAAAGAGATTTCAAAGCACATTAACAGTAAGCAAAAATAACCTTTTCAACTTACCTTTCCCTGAGTAGTAGAACAAAACAGCCCTGTGCCTTTGCTAGAGAACCGACAATCAAATCCTTTTCTGTGGAGGATTAAAGCTGCCTCATTGGAATGCCCACTGCCCACCTGCAAATGAGCAGAATGGAGTCACACCACGCAGACAATAAAGCAAATATTTACAGTACTTCACACACCACTCTCTTGATGTCAGCATCCAAAAGCACATTTATTTAGCAAGAAAGTTAGGCAAATTCATTTCTCCTCAGGTCCATGCTCACTGTCCATTCACCTGCTACCATCCTCTCCTACCTGTACTGAGCCAGATGAGATTGTGTTCTAAGGTTACTTGTTAGGTAACCTCATGCCTTGGTTTCTCCTATAACCTTAGGTTTCCTTATGTCCATATATTATTTGTTTTATCAAAGTTTCTTCAAATAAAGCATTTTGTTTTCATCTTACTTTTTGAACATACATGTCAGTTGAATAAACTACACCTAAACTTAGTCCTTATCTGGTCACTGAATGATATACCATCTAACTTAGAAGTCACACATGCTTCTTTATTGAACACTAATTTTTGCTAACTGCATTCTTAATCTTTGATGTATTGATTCATTATTTTTATATTAGAGCTATTTAAATTTAGTTATGCTTTCACCTGGTAGGCCAGCTCACATTTATCAGTTTGATGTATCATTTAAATTGATACTACAGAAGCTATTGTGGATGGGCAGGCAAAAATAAAAATATCCACATGACAAGTCAGCTAAGAGGGTCAGTATACCTTTTCTCACAATAAAATTTCTCATATCCATTTAAGTATCAATGTCATGAATGGTTCAGGCCTCTGAATATTATAAAATACAATTATCTTAATAAATTTTATGTTTCGTAAAGTTGGAAGGTGTTTATGATAAGATAAATGAATTTAAAATCCCTGGAAAAATTAAGAAACATACAGTTTTTGAAAAAAAGAGTCATGTGCTGCTTAGCACTGACACTGTGATAAAACTGATTCTTTCCTCTGTTCTCTGGTCACAGATAGGAATATGCCCAAACTCTTGATCATCCTCACCAGGGGATAAGATTTTTTAATGTACTAAAGAGACATCTTTCCTGAATAGCTGCCAGAATCTCCACCACCGATTTGATTTTAATGTGCCTGAATGGTTTAAAGCTGTCCTCACCTCAGAGTCTTGGCTGGAATAACCTATGTTATGATGTTTCACACTGATATTTTGTAGTGGTACTGCTAAGATTTTGTTTGAAGGAAAAGTCATTTAAGGAATTCTGAGTCATCACAAGACCAAGATACACACAGCAATTTTAAATCATATAATAAAAATTTCTAATGCATTTCAATACATTTAAAACACCCTCCCCATGTAGTATAAAAATAAATAGGAAATCCTTCATTTATGGTATCATTAGATCTCCCAAAGAAAAACAAAGAGGACTCTATCATGTGCCAACTGTGAAACCTTAGAATAGTAATTTCTTCTTCCTAAATATCTATTTTTTTGCCTGCAAAATGGAGGTAATGCTTGTATTATTTCCTTCATGGAGTCACTGTGTGGATTAACCTGTTGAAAATACTATGTAAGTAGCCTCACGCTGCCGTGTAGGGCAGAATGCGCTAGTGCAGGAACTGTGTAGTAAGAGTGGTTCAGAGCCTGAGTGGGGAGTCAGACACCTGGAGATTTGGATCCTTGCTCTGCAATTTACTAGCTGTGGATTTCAACAAAACCAGGTTTTCCTTTTCCATAAAATGAAGATGAAATGAAATGAAATAGCTTAACGAAGATCTGGTCAAGTGTCTGGCACACAGGAAGCCCTTAGCATAAATTTCCTTTATTGACATTACAACTTTGTAGCTAAAGACTCAGGGAACTCCTAAATTATATGTCTAGAGTCATATATCAAAATCATAACAAAGTCTGTATTCAGATTAACAGGTTAGAAACCCTCTTCATTAAGCTCTTTTAAAAGCACATATCACTATTAACCTAAAGCATTTGGCCTTTTTAACTCATGGGTCCATCCTTACTTATCACTTGATAGCATGCATTGCTACAATTCCTGCAACACATTTGCTCTTGGAATAATGAATTCCTAAGGCCTTTATAGCAACAGAAGGGGACAAAAAAAGTTGGGAGGGAAACACCTTTGGAATTCTACATTTGAATTCTACAAGAAATTTAAACCAACAATACAAAAATAGAGATAAAAGTCATAAAAATTAACTTTCACTGATAGAAAAAGTTATACTTTCTCTCAAAACTAAAATTACATCACTTTTGTAAGAACAAACTGAAATAGCAATCATCTTTGTCCAAGTTTTTAAAAAATCAAATATTCATGAAAGTATCAGTTTTCAAGCAAAAATACCTGAGGCAAAGCAGCAGTTTTTCAGTTTCAAAGTCTGTCTAGACATTTATTTCCAAGAAAACTGTTTTTCAAAGTAGGGAAACTGTGAATTTAAATTGAATATGCATGCAGGAAAACAGATACCTTTAAGTAGCTACACTGTATGCTCTAGGAGAGTAAACACATTTTGGAAGAACTGCTTTTACATTCATTAATGCATTAGTAATATCTGGACCCCATAAAACGGGAGGATGTGGGGAAGAAAATTTACAATTTTTGAAACTGTGCCAAGCACTGTGGTAGGTAACTATCTTTGTAAAACAGATCAGATCACTTTCAAGGCTGGATTACTGAAGTAAGGCTGGCATATTCAAAAGTTGCACAGAGAAAACCCATTGTAAACTTAATTCAGGGGATAAAACCAACATTCAGCTAACAGACTAAGCTGGGCCTCTGAGGCTTTTCCAGCAACTTGGTGGAGTATGGGGAAAGGTGATTTGGTTTGCAGAATGAAGCCATCAGATAAAGCGGCGCTTAGAGAAAGCTGGATCAGACCAATGACTTTTTCTACCATGAACCATTTATGTGACTTTGAGTAAACCTCTACAAATTCAGCAAGCTAAGCGGGACATGTGAAGAGTCCCTCTGAGGACTGAGGGTCAACTGCAGTGACAATATCAGTCATTGCTAATACCTGTTGAGCACTTGCTGTGTGCCATATCCTGTGCAGAATGCTTTTCATCAATTAACTCATTTTATCTCACAACAACCTTTGAAATATTTGAGATGGTATATGAGTTTGTATTAAAATATGTAAATATACAGGAAAATCTCTATCACAAAGCATTCTCTCTTATACTCAAACAGCAATGACCACAAGTGATCCTGGATTAGCCCTTAAGTCTTTTCCCGCCAATGGTTGGGATATCCTTCTGTAGGTGTCCTATTATTACTGAGGACACAAGAAAAATAGACAGTGTATTCCCTCACATTTTCAGTGCTCCCTCTCCCTTCTTGTTTCCATGCAAGACAGTATAAGGTTCTGAGAAGCCATCTGGACTCAGATACACCTGCGTGTGCTCCCAGGACCACATTTAATGGCTGTGTGCCCTAGAGAGTTAACTATCGTATCTCTAGGTCAGTTACTTTCCTATTCTGTAAGATAGGATGAAAATACTGTCTACCTTCTTAGTGTTGTTGTGAGAGCTTTAAAGTTCATGTAAAGCACTTGGCACAATGACTGGCAAACAGACAATTTTAGATATGTTATTTTTAAATATCTGAGGAATTAGTAACAAAGTATTAAGTTGGTACAAAAGTAATTGTAGCTTTGCCATTACTTTTAATAGCAAAAACTGCAATTACTTTTGTACCAACCTAAAATATTAGGAATAAGTCAAAATGACATCAAAATTTACTCTGGCAATAAATGTCAACCTCTAATTTATAAAGAAGTGCCAATGTTTTTACCTCATTATTAGTGATAATCGCCATTGTTCATGACTGAACTATCACAGGTAAGAAGCTTTATTTGTCAAGCACTCATAGGGCTTACTATGTGCCACACACTGTTCTAAGCGCTTTACTGACACTAAAATTATCTCCAATCCTCAGAACATCTCTAAGGTAAGTATTATTACCATCTCCATGTCACTACGGAGGAGGCTGAGACTCAGAGAGTTAAGTGACTTGCTCTAAGTCACATGGTTAGAAAGCCAAGCAGACACGCTCATACCCAGGACATCTGATTCCAAAGTTTAAGCTTTTAACAGCTTCCTTCTCCTACCTTTGCACTAGCTACGAATTTGTGCTCATAGATACCTAGCCAGGAGAGAAAAGATAAAAATTATTTTTGATGTAAAATAACAAAATACTCTAAACTAAAGGAGATAACCCCTCCAATTTATGGCTGAAAAAGGGGAGTATTGACTGATGGTTCCAGCAGAGATAAAACTGTAACGTATCAAAAAATGTATCAATTCAGAAATCAAGCTTTGGAAATTGTAATTTCCTTCCACCTACCACCTATCCACCTATCCATTTACCCCACTTCAAATAGGATTTAAGGCCATTCTGGAAATTATACACATATGACAGTTTCTTCTAAGGAAAAAGGAGGTGAATAGTCCTCTACCGAAGATCTTAAGATGTGAATTATGTCATTCTTCTCTCGTACCAAAAGAAACAGTAAACTTTTGGAAACTGTAGTAAACACTATGTGTGCACCCACCATTTATGGGGAAAAGAGGGACCATAACTTTGGCCAAATTCTCCAGGACTCATGGGACGCCACCCCCCTCACAGAGTTAGTAAGGTGCACATAGATTAAGGTACGGCTACACATCTGGTGGGAAAATGTCTCCAACCCACTCAGATTCTTTGAAAATACCTAACACTCATCTCTAGTGCATTCTAGCAGCTGGAAAGGTTAGAAAATTACATGCTTCATTATAAGTCCAAAGACAGGAAATAACCAGCAGAAATTCATTTTTTAGGGTGCTCATTAAAATGTCCAATAATAGCTATCCTGTTTTGATCAACAAGATAAAATGACAGAAAGAAAGGGAAGGTAAACGGCTGTTCTTAGATATGTACAACAAAGGAATTTTTTTTTTTCACAATTCTCACCTTTCCAGAAGCTAGGAGATCAATAAAGCACCAATCAATTCTTATAAGAAAGACAAAGTAAAATCCTCAAACTGCCTTTTATAAGAAAAGAAGAGGCAGAATGAACAAGTGGAGAGATAAAATCTTATTCA